CCAGACAGGAGTGCAGGGCCCTAAATTCAAACATCAAGACCCAATGTGCAGGGCCCGTGGACAATTCAGTGTGGCCGAAGCGGCGCACAGATGGGGTCCCCGACATGTACGTGGGGCCCTCCATTTAGATAAGAAGTGTCCAAAACCTATGTGGAGGGCTCTCGCATATTCGTGTGCACCCGAGCAGGTTAACAGATGGGGTCCCGACGAGCGTTCACCCTTGCGTTCAAATATGAAATGCCCACGACACGATGTGGAGGGCCCCGAATAATCGAGTGCGCCAGAGTAGGTTAACAGATGGGGCCCCGAAAATCGCGGAGGGCCCTCCATTCAAAAAGGAAGTACCCAAAACCACATGTAGATGTCCCCCACGATCGATTGTTCCCAAGCATCTTATCAGAAGGGGCCCCGACAGGAGCGTAAGGCCCTCCATTCAAATAGGAAGTACCTAAAACCCGATGCGGAGTGTACCCGAACAGATTATCAGATATGACTCCGATATGAGCAGAGGGCCCTAAATTTAAACACCAAGAACGGAAGTGCAGGGCCCCCCCGAGCAATCCAGTGTGGCCAGGGAGGCCAACAGAGGGGCCACGACAAGTGCGTAGGCCCCTATTCAAATGGCATGTGCCCCAGACCCAAGGTAGAGAGGGCCCGAACGATTGAATGTGGGCGAGCAGGCTATCAGATGGGCTTCCCTCCAAAAGCGTAGGGCCCCCAATTAAGGAAAGAAGTACCCAAGACCCAGTGTGAAGGGTCTCCGAACGACTGGTGTGCCCAAGCAGGCCATCAGATGTGCCCCCGACAAGAGTGCGGGGCCCTAAGCAAGTAACAGAAAATTGGAAGCGCCCTAGACTAATGAAGAGCGCCCCTGAACATATCGCAAGTGTAAGTGCGTCGGTAGGCTAACTGAGACCCACGTAAATGGCCCCTGAGCAACCGAGAATACCCCGGCAGCCTAAGATACGGGACCCCGGCTATAGCCCACAGCGCCTTTCTGGCGAATGAAAAGAGCACGTGGAAGGGCTTGTGATTGACAAAAGCGCCCCGGCACGCTGGCAGGAGGGGCCCCAATAACAGCACAGGGCTTTTTTCCCAGTTTACATCTTTTCCAATCATTGAATAATTTTTTTGACTTCTCATAAGCCCTTCAGTTTTGCTTACAACTGTTCCTGGTCGTCTGGAAGTCCATATATATCCAGTTTTGTTCCGTTTTGTGTTAAAAAAAAACTGCACCTGCTCGGCCGGCGATGCCCCCCCCCCCCCCCCGGAGCCAATGGGCCCCTTCGGGTCCAAGGGGGGGGGGGCATGGCCCCGTGCCCCCCTCTGGATCCGCCCCTGGTCACGGATACACCCGGCAATCTGCGTGTCCGTGACCAACTGGCCAATATCGGCCAGCGTCTGAGTACCAACTGGTCGGCCAGCGTCTGAGTGCCAACTGGCCAATATCGGCCAGTGTCTGAGTACCAACTGGCAATATCGGCCAGTGTCTGAGTACCAACTGGCCAATATCGGCCAGCGTCTGAGTACCAACTGGCCAATATCGGCCAGCGTCTGAGTACCAACTGGCAATATCGGCCAGCGTCTGAGTACCGACTGGCCAATATCGGCCAGCGTCTGAGTACCAACTGGCCAATATCGGCCAGCGTCTGAGTACCAACTGGCCAATATCGGCCAGCGTCTGAGTACCAACTGGCCAATATCGGCCAGCGTCTGAGTACCAACTGGCCAATATCGGCCAGTGTCTGAGTACCAACTGGCCAATATCGGCCAGTGTCTGAGTACCAACTGGCAATATCGGCCAGCGTCTGAGTACCAACTGGCAATATCGGCCAGTGTCTGAGTACCAACTGGCCAATATCGGCCAGCGTCTGAGTACCGACTGGCCAATATCGGCCAGCGTCTGAGTACCAACTGGCCAATATCGGCCAGCGTCTGAGTACCAACTGGCCAATATCGGCCAGCGTCTGAGTACCAACTGGCCAATATCGGCCAGTGTCTGAGTACCAACTGGCCAATATCGGCCAGCGTCTGAGTACCAACTGGCCAATATCGGCCAGTGTCTGAGTACCAACTGGCCAATATCGGCCAGTGTCTGAGTACCAACTGGCCAATATCGGCCAGTGTCTGAGTACCAACTGGCCAATATCGGCCAGTGCCCGAGTACCCAACCAGGACCGGAACATCGGCGTATTTGGATCATCGCACTACGGTGATAATTTTATCGACATTTAATTATTAAATTAATTAAATCAATAATTTTACGAACGACATCCACCATCCTGCGTATCTTGCGGCTCGGCTCTGTGGCGTGCCAGCCGACGTCTTGTGATGAATAAAACAGCCCGTAAGAGATCAGTTCAACCACGCCATGGCTCTTGACCTGTTTGATGCTTTTGTCTCCATATTTTCGTTAGCGCATAAACTCCGGAGATAAGTGTTTCATGTAGTTTTGCTTTCCAGCTCTGGGACTGGAGCGAATGTTTAATTGCCGCATGTGACCGATCACTGGTGAGCGTCGTGAGGTGCCAGCGTAGATGTCGCTTTCGGGGTCGTCCACACGGTCGTTACGCGTGGCGGGGGAGGGCTTTTTATGAAGCGGGGCAAAGCAAAAGCATAGCATGGGAGAGAGGGCGAGGTCTTGGACAACGCAACGTTACACCCAAGTCTACTTCCTAATCTTACTAAAGCATTAGTTAATGAAACCTCAAAGCCCTATACTCATGTGCTGTGTTTCGTGAAAAGAAACATGGTCTTCATTTGTTTCACAGCTTTGGCTCAATAGGGGCCAAAAACACGTTGCTTTCTCGGGGCGTTACCAGCGTGACCACGGGGAGGGAGGTTACACTTTGGTTACTTAACCAAGCGTAGCCAGCGTGTAACATGGGGAGCGGGAGGGTTGCCAATGACGAAAGCTACTCAGCGTAATTTATGGGCGGTCCCTTTTCATGCGCTGGCGTGATGTGGCTAAATGTGGTTTGCCGATGTATAGGTGGCAGCACTTTACGGCTCAGCTGGCGCCTTCCGCCGTCAGGACCTATAAGCATCCATGTTTTCCGATGGCAGTCCAGTGACACAGCGAGTCGGCCTGCGGGGTATAGCCACTTCTCGTGAACCAGATACGGAATGTGCATAATTTGCGATGCAACCCAGTTATCTGAAGGATAGCTTCATTAACGCGGCCCTTTCGTGCTTTTTTACAGATTTGATCCGAATCCTTTGAGTGGATGGAGTTCCGGGATCAGAGCTCACGCTAAGCAGTGCTTGTTGTGTGAGCCTTGACCCCTACCATCCGATCGCGCAATTCCATGTCAACGGCAGAATTTGGTGGCGAAAGCTTAACGTGCCGCAATGCTCGGCGCGGTCCGTCCTGCCCTCTGACGTCAACTGACCTTTAGTGCGGCCGCTGCCACCGGCCGCAGGCCATACCTGCCAAGGACAAATAGCGAGCGCCCTAAAGCGACTCGAACCCACCCCGCCACGGGTGGGTGAATCAGAAGGCAGGCGCTCTAACCGACTGAGCCACCGGGACGGTTGGTTTCTGTACCACCACTGGTACTGAAACTGGAGCCGCGTTAAAATACGTGTTTTGCCACAAATCGCACGGGTGGCATGATCAATGGAGGCGCCATTCAGCATAATCCCCGCGTCCAACGGCGGCGTTTCAGCGACGGCAGCGACTAGCGAGCTGCTAGGGAGTGCACGTGAGGTCAGAGTTTGGTCCGGTGACGTCGGCACCACTGGCGAGATGCGAGGAAGTGCACATGAGGTCAGAGTTTGATCCGGTGGCGTCATGTTTCACGCAGTCGCCGACACCGTGTGGCTCGTCAGAACGCAACCTAAGTAGCAGTTGCTGGAGAGATACTAAATATACCGTTCGCGTGAAAAAATGCGTTGCGTAGCACTCGCTGCTGACATTGATTTATGTGCATGCGTGAGTCATTAGTTGTTCGTGTGCAACACGTAAAGCTACATATCACCGGCGCTTGAACGAAGCTGATGAGGCTCAAGCAGTAAAATCGCGCAACGCAGCGGGACAAATTAAAAAACCACGGCTTTGGATTCGAACGTCATCGCAGTAAGCTCAGCACTGCGTACTGCATAAGCACACGGCTGTCGTGCAAATAATCTAGGTGTCATAATTCGCTTCTGCTAGCCTGCTATACGCTGTGCTGTGAGATCACCGACCCGCCGCCGTTACCGCACATAAGCTTTCGATCAAGCTGGACTTTCACTGCTCACTGCGCTAAGATCTGCACAATCGATTGCGTTTGCCGAAAGCGATCATGTGATAATGATTCACGTTGGTTATCAATCGCACCGTGTATGATTCACAGCTAGCCGTGTATTTATGACATACCACTTCATCGTGCGTTGATATCACTGAGCACCGTACCGTTCGTACAATTTCCAATTTTGTCGCGATTTTCTCAGGCACTGCGCTCCGCTGGCTGGTCGCAATGCCATTGACACGGAAACCTTAATCACGGCTGGGGACCCCAGAGCGACGCGTGCGTCCGGGCCATCACTACCGGCAAGGAGACCCAAAGCGACGCGTGCGTCCGAGCCATCACTACCGGCAGCGGGACCCAGAGCGACGCGTGCGTCCGGGCCATCACTGCCGGGGCCGTGTGAGGCACGTGCCACCACATGTGGAGCGTAGCACTGGCACGTCCTAGGACAGACTCCACGGCACGTCACGTTCCACGTCCTCCGCTACGGCACGGCAGCAGCCGCCTCACCCTCCGAGCACAGACGCCCCCTGATCGTCCTCGCGAACACCTCCCCCCCCCACCCCTCCAGCCGGCGGCGGACCCGGGCAGCGTTGGGCAGTGAATGGGCAGTGTTATGGCAGTGAATGTGGCGTAGCCCGGGACCCTGGCGCGCGCGGGCGCCCCGCCGCGCCGTTGGCGCCCCAGGCTGCCCCGGTGCGGACTCGTCGCGTCACGCTCGTCACGCGTGACGTCGTGCGGTCCCCAGCGGCGGCGGCGGCCCGCCCGCTAGGCGGCCGGCGCCGTGCTGTTGCCGGGTGCGTGTCGTGCGGACCGCCCATAGAACGGCAGCTCGAACTGCCACGAGGGCGGCGGCGGCGGCGGCGGCGGCAGTCGGTAGCGACGGCGGCAGACGACGCAGCGCGAGACGCGTGTTCGCAAGTTGCCCGCCTTCAGCGTCTGCTGCTGCGGCTGGCGGAACTGTGCGTACTCGGCGATGGTGGTCAGCCAGAAGGAGTAGGCGGTGGTGAAGAAGTTGCAGCGGCCGTGGCCGTGGCATTCGATGAAGGGCGTCGGCCGGAAGTCCTCCAGGCAGGAGCCGGGAGAGACGAGCGACTGGCCGCCGCCCTCGGCGCCCGCGTCCGTGTGCTGCGGCACAGCCGGCCTCGGTCACCGACGGGGCAGCCAGGCCCCAGCACAACAGCAGAGTCGTCGGTCCCAGCGAGGTTTTGGTCACACTTTGGCCGTGACAGGCCCAGTCGTATTCTCACAAGCACGGTTTGTGGACGCGAGGACGGCCAAATAGTCACATGGGCAGATATACGGTCACATGGGTAGTTAACAGCCACCTGGGTAGTTTACAGTCACATGTGTAGTGATGGTGTCACACGCAAACGGCCAGACTCACACGAGCTAGTAGCCATATTGGTCATGCAACCGAATTCAAACGGGAGTTTGAATTTGAGAAGAGTAAGGTGCCAGTGTGTATACATCGCTCGCCGCCTCATTGCCGCGGAAGACTTGCTTAATACTTAGCTTCGAAATATAAGCACGGAAACATCAGCATATAGCAAAAATAATACAGAAATAACATAGATCAAAAATAAGCACGAATACATCAGTGGGATCGTCAGAAGAAACGTCAACTGAAAACTCGTGCGTAAACCTGCGGGTAGCAAAGGCTTCCAACAACGTCGTGCCTCACCATGAGGAAGGAGTAGCCGGTCCACATGGTTTCCCAGTTGGCTGGACACTCCGGTATGGCCACGTCCTGGCTGTGGATGGCTATGGCTCTTGTTGGTGCTTCACACACAGAACAGCTGCAACAGATGCAAGCATATGTGGAAGATACAGGGGCGTAGTTTGGCAAAATGGGTTCGGGTGGATGGAGGCTGAAAGTGAAAAATGACGAAACCTACGCGGAAATAGCCAACAAAGTGGCTTCTTCCCGGGTTTGGTCCACTTTCTTCTAACAGTTGGGGGGGCCTGGGTCCAAGTGTGTGTAGGGGGGGGGGGGGGCTGGAGGTCATGTGTGTTTGGGGGGAGGGGAGAAGGGGCTGGAGTTCCCTCAACTGAATAGGAAACTACGCCCCTGAAAAGATGGGAAACTTGAGAACCAATTCGGTGTATGGGCACCACTTGATTTTCGGTAAATTAGCCGAACGCCGTTCGCGGAGCATGCATACTGACTGTCTGACACACCACTCTGACTGTCTGACACACCACTCTGACTGTCTGACACACCACTCTGACCGTCTGGCACACCACTCTGACTGTCTGGCACGTCACTCTGACAGTGTGACACATCACTCGGTGTGGATTGTGGACACCCTTACCACAGGCGTACCAGCTGGATACACTCTCATCACGGGCGTACCAGCCGGATATACTCTCATCACAGGCGTATCAGCTGGATATACTCTCATCACAGGCGTACCAGCTGGATACGCCCTCATCACAGGTGTTCCAGTTGGATATACTCTCATCACACGCGTGCCAGCCGGATAACGTCCTCACCACAAGCGTACCAGCCGGATGCACCCTCACCACAGGCGTACCAGCTGGATACACCCTCATCACGGGCGCACCAGCTGGATATACTCTTATCGCAGGCGTACCAGCTAGATACACCCCCATGACAGGCGTTCCAGTTGGATATGCTCTCATTACACGCGTACCAGCTGGATATATCCTCATCACAGGCGTACCAGCTGGATACACCCCCATCACAGGCGTTCCAGTTTGATATACTCTCATCACATGCGTACCAGCTGGAACTACTCTCATCACAGGCGAACCCGCTGGATATACTCTCGTCACAGGCGAACCAACTGGATATACTCTCGTCACAGGCGAACCCGCTGGATATACTCTCGTCGCAGGCGTACCAACTGGATATACTCTCGTCACAGGCGTACCAACTGGATATACTCTCGTCACAGGCGTACCAACTGGATATACTCTCGTCACAGGCGTACCAACTGGATATACTCTCGTCACAGGCGTACCAACTGGATATACTCTCGTCACAGGCGTACCAACTGGATATACTCTCGTCGCAGGCGTACCAACTGGATATACTCTCGTCACAGGCGTGCCAACTGGATATACTCTCGTCACAGGCGTGCCAACTGGATATACTCTCGTCACAGGCGTGCCAACTGGATACACTTTCATCACACGCGTAACAGCTGGATATACTCTCATCACACGCGTACCAGCTGAACACACCCTCATCACAGGCGTACCAGCTGGACACATCCTCATCACCCGCGTACCGTGAGATGTACCGCTGGATGTTAACCCCCGTAATCGGTGTCATCATCACCGGCATCGGCTCCGGCGTGTTTAGCCAATAGCTGTAGTCGTTACGCTGGGCATACTCGCACTTCTCGTTGCCGCTGCAGAAGACGTACGGCATGGTGGTGAACTTGAGCAGGCAGGAGCCTGGCGTACCTGTGGTGCGTTCACATCAGGCGTTAAGGCGGACTCTGCATGCGGACTCAGAGTGTATGCGTGCACTGGCATGGTGGGACGCGCGGGTCTACGTCCAGGATCATTATAGAGTCTGAAACTGCGCTCACCGAGGTCGGCGCCGTGAGCCTTGGCATTCCCAGTGACGTGCAGCAGCGAGTAGCCCTGCCACAGCTGGCTGGTGCCGGGCGGACACTGCGGCACGTACGTCGACTGGCTGTGCCGCGTGAAGAAGAAGCCGCGCGAGGGCGGCGGCGGCCCGGTCTGCGGCGCGTCGTCGCCAGGAGGGCCCCGGCCTCCCGGCGGGCCGTAGGGCCCGGGCGGGCCGCGGCCGCCGGGGTCGCCGGTGGGCCCGGGCGGGCCCGGCCGCCAGCCGGGCGGGCCGCGCAGGCCGGGCAGGCCCGGCTCTCCCAACCCGCCCGGCAGGCCGTCCAACCCCGGCAGGCCGGGCTCGCCGGGCCGGCCGGCCAGCCCGGGGAAGCCGTCCGGGCCGGCGTCGCCCGGCAGGCCAGGTCCGCCGTCCAGCCAGGTGCCGGGCGCGCCGGGGCAACCCCGCTGGCCGCGCCGGCCCGGCGAGCCAGGCAGGCCGTCCAGGCCGCGGTCGCCAGGCCGGCCCCGGGTTCCCGCCCCGGCCGTCCAGGCCGGGAAGGCCGGGCTCGCCCTTATAGCCTCTCGGTCCGGGCAGACCGTCGAGGGCCGGGTAGCCGGGCTCACCCCGCTGGCCGCTGCCGGAGGGCGAGGCACAGGTCAGAGCGGCGCAGGTCAGACGCGCTGCTGCCGGGTGCGGCAGGTGCAGGTCAAGATAGGCCTAGACACCGCAAATAGGTCACGACTGGGGCAATGGGCAGAGGCGTAGCCAAGAGAGGAGCTTTTGGGCCCATACCCCTGGGGGTGGCGGGGGAGAGGGGTCTGAGACCGATGCCCCCCAGTTCTTTGCATTTTAAAGCCTCGAAATTTGAATGGATTGCAAAACATAAAATAGACTCGCTAGGCATCAGAATAGGACCCCTAGCCTCAAAATGAACTCCGAATAAAAACAAAGGGCCCAAAGCGGCAAAAGAAGACCCCGTTGACTGAAAGGGCCCCCTGTGACCCAATTTGGTCCCCTCCAGGGGGAAACCCTGGCTACGCCACTGAATGGTGACCGTGCTGTCCGCGCATTGAAGAGCGGGGCACAGTCTGCACCATCGCCGCCTGCCAGGCCGGCACATTCTGCACACTGAGAAAACACATCAGCTCAAGCCACGTGCCGATTGTTTAAAAGCTTCTCGCGCATTAGGACCAATCCTTTCCATTTCAAACCATGTTAGGACTGTTTCTTTGTACCGTCACGGCTGCAAAGCTGATCGCTCTCAACACTTCACCGTCTTTGCTTCCGCCAAATCACACCACCCCGCTGGTGGCGGCGGTGACGGCGGCCCCTGACTCACGGCAAGCCCGGCGGTGCGTCCAGACCCCTGTCGCCGGACGGTCCCGGTCTACCGTCGGGCCCGGCTGGCCCCGGCTGGCCGGGCCCACCGTCGCGGCCCGGCACGCCGTCTCTGCCGGGGCCGCCGTCGTAGCCGCGCTCGCCCTTGGGTGAGATCCCGGGCGGCCCGTCGCCGCCGGGCCGGCGGGGCAGGCCGCTGTCGCCGTCATCGCCAGGGTCTCCGGCCGGGCCGGACGGGCCACTGAGGCCCGGCAGACCCGGCGACCCGTCCGTGCCCCGCTCGCCGCCGCGACCGACGCTGCCGGGCCCGGGCGGGCCGCGCGGGCCACCGTCGCCCGGCTGGCCCCGGCCGCCGGCGCGGCCGGGCAGGCCGTCCGGACCGCGCAGCCCTGGCTCGCCCGGTCGGCCGGTGGGTCCGCCCCGGCCCGCCGGGCCGGGGAGGCCCGGAAGGCCCGGGTTGCCCTTCAGGCCCAGCCGACCCGGGCAGCCGCGCTTGCCGGCCAAGCCTGGCAGTCCGGGTGGCCCGTCCTGGCCCGGTGGTCCGTTGAAGCCGTCCTGGCCCGGGAGACCGGGCCGACCGCTGCGCCGACCCGGTCCTCCAGGTAGGCCTGCGGCAGAAACCGCGTCATTTTGCGGCAGCAGCGCTTCGCAAGGGTGTTATACCCCAGATGTGTTACATCCCCGCAGAGGTGTTACACCCCCGCAGAGGTGTTACACCCCCGCAGAGATGCTACACCCCCGCAGAGATGATACACCCCGAAGAGGTGTTACGACCCGCATAGACGTTACAACCTCACAGGTGTTAGATCCCCACAGAGGTGTTACACCCATACAGAGCTATTACACCCCACTCAGGTGCTAAACAGCACCGCGGTGTCATGCGATGCAGGGTTCTTACACAGCTGAGGAGCGATGTGCGGTGCATTGGAGTTTCACAGCGCAGGGGTGTAGCGATGCTAGACAGCACAAGAGTGTGACGCGGCGTGGGAGTGTTGCACGTCGCGTCACACTGGTTACCTCACTGATCACGACGCGTCACACGCGTGTGACGGATCACGGGTGTGTTAGGGTGAACAGCGGTGTTGCACTCTGCAGGGGTGTTACACGCTGTGACTCTACTGGGATCTCGCAGAGCGAAGGGGTGTTACACCGTTCAGACGTGCTGCGCGGTGCGAGGGTGCTGCATCGTGCAAGTGGAGTTGCACGTCAAGTGGGTGCCACGCGCCAGAAGGGTACCGCTCAAAGCAAGCGTTCCATGGCGCACTGTCTCCGTTCACAGTTCAACGATCCACTGGCAAGGAGGCGATGGCCCCTCGCAGAATCTACGGCGCTGAGACTCTACGCCAGTGCATTTTCTTCAAGATTCCACAAAACCGCATTTCAGTAAGTAGGTCCGCTTTGTGATTCCGTAGGGTACTTTTCGCCTGAAAAGATGCGTTGAAGATTGACGATTGATCTAATATGCTCACCAGAAAAAAACTCACGAAAAAGCACTCACAATAACTGGCACGTGGGCGGATGAGGCACCCCGCAAAATGAAGACAAACGAGGTCAAATGTGACACGACGTCCAGTGCAATTAGTTGCCACATCCGGCCTGGACATGACCCTCAAACAGTGCGCCGGGGGGGGGGGGGGGCATGATTCAGGACGCCTGGGCCATTGGGCACTGAGCTCAGTTCAGCATGAGGCGCCCCCCGCCCCCCGCCCCCCGCAATTTAGAACACCTCAGTTATAGTCACTTCATGTTGTGGGGGTTTCCAAACACGATTTCTACAAGCAAGTTACGTCGTGGAAAGTAAGGATTTAGATCAGGAGGAAGTCGCAAGCCTGTTTTCGTTTTGGCTGGTCAAAGGTGGTTGAAAACTTCGGCCTATTCCTTCTTGGCCGCTTAAAGAATCACTTGCCATTTGTTTCCACCAATTTCATCCCAGCGAACTATCGTTGACCCCATCCACTTCCATAGAGAAGCTTAACATGTCGCCCGTTACTTACTTAGACACGACGAGGGCTGATTTTGTTTTTTTCAGCTCAAGTGTCTGTCACCCTTTAAACAATAACCTGACATGTGTTTAACAATGTCACCAAACCGCAGTCGGACAATAAGACGTGTCTGAACATTGTAATACACCACCGTATTGTGTAGCGTTTTACCAGCATTTCTCCGCGCTGAGGCTGTGCGGAATTTTGTTTGTAAACATCAATATCAGCAGCACCGTTTCGAACAGTAAATTTCGCCCAGATTATGCAGTCTCAAACTGTCTCGTCTACGAGGATCACCAACCACGTCGCAATGCTCAGTGCCAGTGCTCAGTGCTCAGTGCCAGCACTTAGTGCTCAGTGCCAGCGCTCAGTGCTTAGTGCTCAGTGCCAGCGCTCAGTGCTCAGTGCTCAGTGCCAGCGCTCAGTGCTCAGTGTCAGTGCTCAGTGCCAGTGCTCAGCGCTCAGTGCCAGCGCTCAGTGCTCAGTGCTCAGTGCTTAGTGCTCAGTGATACACCCCGGCACACTATTGGTCCGTCCTGGCCACGGGCCGAATGACGTCATACCTGGCCGGCCGGGTGTGCCAGGATCGCCGGCGGGACCGAGCAGGCCGGGCATGCCTTCCAGGCCGGGCATGCCCCGGTCGCCGCCGAAGCCGGGGGAGCCGGGCCGGCCGCGAGGACCCCGCGGGCCCGGCCGGCCGTCGACGCCTGGATCCCCACGTGGGCCCGGCGGGCCCGGCAGGCGATTCGTGTCCCCGGGCAAGCCCTGCGGAATCAGGTCAGGGCAGGTCAGGTCAGACACACGGTACACGGCCCAGCACAGGGACGATGGGTGTGTCATTTCCGACGGTCTGCGCACGCCACCGGACGGGATAGCTTGTCCAGGGGCAAGGTCGCTCTAAAATACATCAGGCGCAAAATGGCTGGCGGGCACAGAGCCGTCGCCAAGATGCGTTTACGCCGCCCGCTTCAAACTCATTTCGTTTAGCTGTCCGTCGGGGTTTACAAAAACTGAGGTAAGTTTAAGAGCCTCTGCACAGTCCCCAGTGCGATAACCACGAGCAGAGAGTCACACCTAACCACCACAGCCAGCTATGTAAACATGGCACGTCGACCACGCACGCTCGGCTGCGGACGGGCGGAGCGTCGCACGCACCTTGAGACCGACGCGGCCGTTCGGTCCAGGCGGTCCGCGGTCCCCGGGACCGCCGGACGGGCCGGGCAGGCCGGGGAGGCCGTCGCCGGGCGGTCCGGGCAGTCCGGGCAGCCCGTCCGGGCCCATGGTGCCGGGCCAGCCAGGTGGGCCGGGCAGGCCGATTTTGCCCGGGCAGCCGCGCTTGGAGGCCGAACCGGGCTCGCCGGGCGGGCCCGGAGGCCCCGGTGGGCCGTACACGCCGCTCGCACCCTTGTCGCCGGGCGCGCCCGGGGGCCAGCCCTGGGGCCCCGGAGGCCCAGGTTCACCGACGGAGCCCTTCTGGGCGCCCCGGCCCGGTGGGCCCGGCCGTCCCGGCAGGCCGGCCGGACCTGACGGAGAGACGGGCGCGTCAGGGCACCACAGCCAATCACAGACACGGGCGAGTGACGTCCCGACATTGCAACCAATCACGGGCGGCCTGGGCACCGCGGCCAGTGATGAACACGGGATTTCCGTCACACTCGTCGTTCGACTTACACGCGGCTCAAAAGGCAAACGACGACAACAGACAGACAGACAGACAGGCGCACTCTGTTCATATAGTTATCATGCTCTTGGTGAAGTTTGGCGGTGGGGGGGGGGGGGGGATACTGACGTTTATTCTTCTCACGTTACGTGACTGATCGTAATGTAAACGTAGCGATCAATCTGTGCGCAATGTGCGAACGGCTGACATCACGGTGCTTCAACCAATCGCAGACGACAGGCATCGCAGGGAGGCTGACGTTTGGGTATCCAACCAATCACAGCTGAGCGGGACGGCTGACGTCTGGGCGGCAACCAATCACGGATGCTGGGCATTGGGCATTCAACCCGTGTAAAGTCTGATTTCATGCTACCAAAATCAAGCACAGGCATGGGTTTGGCAGATAACATCGCCACTGAAAAAATGCAGGCAGCTGACGGCAAACAGAGCCAGCGGCATGAGGCAAGCGCTTGCCGAGCCCATCCCACGGAGAAAAGACGCCCGCTTAGCCTGGAGTCAGCCGCGGATAGTCGAGCCGGGGGAGAGGGTGAGGGAGCGCTGGTAGCCGACCGCGCGGAGCACGCACCTGGGTTTCTGCTATCGTCGCCGCGCAGGCCGGCCGGTCCGTCGATCCCAGGCCGGCCGGGGCCTCCGGGCGCACCGCGGCGGCCCGGCTGCCCCGGCTGCCCGGGCTCGCCGCGGCCCGCGCTCGGACCCTGCTCGCCGGGCATGCCCGGCTGCCCGACCAGGCCGCGCAGGCCGGGCACGCCGTCGGGGCCCGGCAGGCCCAGCTCGCCGGGCAGGCCGGGCAGGCCGACGCGGCCGGGCGGGACCCGGCCGGCCGGGCCGGCTGTCGCCTGGTGGGCCTCGTGCCCCCTGTCGGCACACGACCGTGACCCCAATGCAGGACGACCTCCGGGCCGGTGGGTCAGCAGCCGCACCGGTCACAGAGCGGGCTCCGTCGGACTAACCTAGCACGGTTACTGTTGCTTTTACCGTAGCTGTAACTGTTAGTGTAACCCATCATTGTTACGCAATAAACCTTACCGCCGTCGTATCGCCACAGAGCCGCGGGCCTATTGTAGCCCAACGGGCCTATTGTGGCACTCAGGATCCTATTTTGGCACCCAAGGGTCTACTGTGACACACAGGGCCCTAGACAGCCATCTAGGAAGGGCCTTTTTAGCAAGGTGGACGGCATATAACGCATTAACCATCTGACTTCCTGCCTAACGTTTCATCTGTCCATCTGTTTACCTGCCTTTTTGTTCATTTAGTTGCATATATGACTGTCCATCTGTTTAGCCTTCTAACCTGTCTTTCACGTTTCTTCCTGTGTGACAACTGTTACTTTCGTCTGGCTATCAATTTTTGAAATATAAGCATCCATTCATAGGTCACCCATGCAATCTAGCCACACACAGGACCGGTTACCTGATCAGCACGTGGCGGCGAATAACTACCGCTACGCGCCAATTCCCCAATCACCCATCCTCTGCCCGTTCAAAAGCCCCTGCGACGCCCGGCGGCCGCACCTTGAAGCCGGGTGTCCCATCCGGAGCGCTGTCGCCCGGCCGTCCGGGTCTGCCGGACGGTCCGCGCGGTCCGGGCAGTCCGTCCGATCCGTCCGGCCCGCGCCGGCCGGGCTCGCCGGGCAGGCCGTCCGGCGCGCTGGGTCCGGGCGTGCCGGGCAGGATGGGCAGCCCCGGGTCGCCGGGGAAGCCGGGCAGGCCGGGCCAGCCCTGCCCGCAGGGGAACGGAGGTCAAAGGTCAAAGCACTGCGTCGAGGCCAGACGGCGGGACGCAGCAGAAACGCGACGGAAAAACAGCGGAACGCAGCGGTCAAAGGCGGCGGAAAAATACGGCCTGCTGCCGTCCAGGCGCAGAAAGGCGGCACGGTGGTGGCACGAGCGCCGACAGGCGGCACGGCGGTGACACGAGTGCCGACAGGCGGCACGGCGGTGACACGATCGCCGACAGAGCAGCTCCGGACACGGTGCAGCGCAGCACGAACCACGCATAGCAGGAGTGCCCTTGAATGGACCACGCGAACCGCACTGGCCACGCGCGCGGAGCCGCTCGGCGGTGCGCGGTGTGCGCGCCCCTGACCTGGTCTCCGCCCCGGCCGGGCTGTCCGTCAGCGCCGGCCAGGCCGGGCAGGCCGGCCCCGCCCGGGCCTCCCGGGAAGCCCTTGAAGCCGGGCGGACCGCGGAGTGAGGGCCCCGGCGGGCCCCGGCCACCCTCGCGGGCCCGATTCGACCCGGGCAGCCGCGGAAGCCCGGGGGCCCGTTCAGGCCCGGTGGACCTGCAACAGGACTCGTCATGGTGCTGTCGCTGGGGATGGGGCCCGGCGGTGATTGGAAACACCGCCGTAGAGCATTTAATAACGTTACGTTTCGGGGGGGCAACTTAAAAAATGTCATTGCATTGGAAGACAAACACGCGACAAACGCGATTATGACAAATCATACGGGTATGTTCGGGTTTCAGAAGCATTTGGTCTTTCAGTATTTAATCTTATATATGAATGCCTGGGGTCGGAACGGAAGCAGCTGCAAAACATCAGAGGGCGCCGCCACTTCGAAAAAGCCAGGAAGTTGTGCCTGCGTTATCACAGTGCTCGCTGGCGCTTCTGTTCAAGAATTAGAGCGAAGTTGGACCATCATTAAGCTTCCGGCACCCTCGGGCTACCACTTGTACAAGCACGTTCCACGGCGGTGAAGAGAATTAAAACCGGTGCTGTGCTGCAGACAATGGACGTTTGTCGCGTTGTTAGCCGGCACGTTTCATCAGTTCCCCGCACTCTCGCGCGTGACACCCGCCCGCCCGCAGCCGCCGCCGCGCCGCGCCGACCGGCCGAGCGCGCGGCGTCGGCCGCCCACCTGGAAAGCCGGGTTCGCCGGGCTCGCCCGGCCTGCCGCGGGCCAACATCGGGCTCGCTGGCGTCTCCTGGCTCCCCCGGCGGCCCGTCCGGGCCGTCCAGTCCCGGCGGTCCGCTGCAAAGAAGGCGGGTGTTGAGCACGCGCGCTTGATGGCTTGATGCTGGGGTGCGGCACAGAGCGGGCAATGACGGACGACGCCAAGGCAGGCCCGTCGCGTCAAGCTCCACCACGGCCGACATCAGGGCAGTCCGTGACCACGTGCGAAACAGGGAAGGCCGGGACCACGCGGCTCCTAGGAAGGTCAACATTATACAAGGCCAAGGGTGGTGCAGTGTGGCGCGCGGGACATTTGCCGGGTGCAGTACTCACGTTCGGGAGTGAGGGCGGATGAATGGGGTGCAACTCGGGTCAGGACTTAACTGACAGCCTCGTAGGTGCGAGCATTCCAAACAACGCTTAGCGTCTTTCTCTTCATTTGACTTCACATATATGTCGCAGAACGTCTTACATTTGGGAGTCAAAGGCGGTTCCACAACGTCGCCTTTAGGGGGGGGGGGGGGGGCAGGGGAACAACACCTGCTTGGGGGAAAAATAGAAAAGATGTCCTGATTTGAAAAGCTCATCTCATTCTGCTTAATTTATCTCCAGGGTGTCCTAAAGCAAATGGTTTCTGCATAAGTGTTGCTTAGATTCCATTCGACCTCCAGAAATTATCATTTCTTGCCAGACTTTGGCCATCTTGGTGTGTGGGGAGGGGGTTGGTCGTTATGAATCCGCCTCTGACTGAAGTGTTTCAGACATGATCTCTCCGGAATAAGAGAATCATGCCCGCCCTTCGGATCAAGCTGCTTGTCTAGGCTCACCACCGCCGATCATCTTGGCTGTGCCGCTCTAAAGCCTCCCATTTTCAGGAGCACCCCTAATAGTCGCCATATAATTAATATTCATTTGCTAATAATTCCAATCATCGTCATCAGGCTTGTCGCTCCTAAGAGCCGAACCCCCAGCTGCGCCCCGCCCCCTCCCCCCTCCGGGCTCTCCAGGTCAGCCTGCCGGACGCCGGACGGAGTCGGTGTTCGAGACGCTACCAGCAGCCGGCCCCGAGCCAGGACAAGACCGCTCTCAAAGCTCGCTCGTGGACGGAGCGGGACCTCCACTGCAGCTCACTGTCGGACGGTGTGAGACAACTCGCCGCTTAGTCGCAGCAGGGACGAGTGCTTACTCTAGGCCGGGCGGACCGCTCTCTCCCTTCAGGTAGAAGACGTTGAACGTGTCGGCGTCCGTGCCCGGACGTCCGGGCCGGCCGTCGGTGCCGTCCAGTCCCGGCAGACCGGGCTCGCCGTACTCGCCCTGGGGTTAGCGTTCAGGAGTCAGGTCAGCACTCGCCGAAGCCCTACAACGCGCTGACGGTCATAGAAATCGGGCGGTGCAATGACGTGACAAAGGGAAAAAGCCGACCATAGTGCGACATGATGGTGAGGTCTTTGGCGTGACATCATGACATTTTCCCCGAGGCCATACCAAGTACCACAAGATCATAGAGATAAAGATTCACCATAAGTTGTCACATCAGTTGCTGTGAGATCATTAGCAAAATGATCATGGCGCATAGCGAACTTGTATATTGAGACACACACGCCAACATCACCAACGATGCCGCGCCGAAAATATTTGTTACGTAACCGTTACAGGAGTCGAAGCTAACCGTTAGCTCCAATGTGGTAGGCTCGAGGCAGCAGGTTCAAGATAGCTAAAGGCAGGGGTAGTTTCGACCTACCCCTGCCTGGTAGAAATTATGACGTTGCTCATCGTCCGTCTAAAAATTCACTCTGTTTTCTTATTAATTATTTAATTATTTAATA